GCATACTTGCTGCACTCATGCTTTTGGTTTGTTGGGCGTGTCGAGCCCGGCCTGTGAGGACTGGAAAGCAAGCGTCTTGGCTGACTGGCGGTTCATTGCTTTGTCCCCGGTTTGGGATTTCCTAGGTGGCAATGTGGGGCAACTGTGGATGTCTCTTGTGGTCGGCCCTACACTCAACCTTAACCCCATTGAAAACTGATTCGAGGCCGCAGGAACTCGCAACACTAGAAACTGTGCTATTGGCTATTGTTGACATTGCTTGAACGGTTTCGAGTTGGCAGCATTGGTCTTGACGATGATGTTGGTCGTTAAGCTGATGCTGCTGTCGCTGTTGTTGTATTGCTGCTGTGGTGTTGTGGCTGCCTTTGCGTTTGTGGTTTGGTTGTTGGTTGCTGTTGTTGTTCGTTGCTGAAAGCTGTAGCCGTTGCTGTTGCCTAAGAGGTTGGACCGGGTTGGTGTTGATGTTGGAGGTGCTGTTGTTGCATCTGCTGTTTCTGCTTGCCGCTGCTGTTTCCGTTGCTGCTGCTGCTGCTGGTTGTGATGGTGGTGGTGGTCGTGGTGGTCGTGGTGGTCGTGGTGGTCGTGGTGGTGGTCGTCGTCGTCGTTGTATGCTTTTGCCTTTGCCGTCGTTGTCGCATCACCTTTTCATGGTCCATCTTGTGTTCACTGGGAAATCCCAAAAGCACTGCAGGAATGAGCAGTACATCTGGGGCGAGTGACTGGGCACGATGTGGCTGCAGCAATACTCTGGACGATGTAACCAGCAGCTAGCAACTACAAGGAAACCCGAAGCATTACTACCCTAAGACCCGACTTTTGGCTGGCGGAAGGTGGAAAGGGGAATGCACCCGCCTTCTGCAACAAGATGCCTGTCCACTGCAGATATCTTGGCGCTCAGATATCACAGCCTAAGCCCCCAGACCGTGACAGCAAGAAGCCTTAATCAACCCACCTAAACTGCTCCCTACACCCTTAAACCCTCAATCTAAACTGCTGTTCGAAGCGAGGAACCGGTGGGGTGACTTCCGCTTTCATCATGACCAGAGGGAACACGGTGGCAGTGAGCCAGGGTCGGTAGGGCGCCCAGTTGCTCAGAAGCTCGGTGTACCCCTAAACTTAAGCAGCCCCAACACCCAAAACCGAAAGGTCATCAAGACTGATGTGCATTTCTGGCGCTGCAGCAGTTCGTGCATTTTGAGCTTCCGCGTTTAGTGTTTTCGACACTTCGGAGTCTTCGGTTGAAGTGCATGAAGGTGGGCATATGAACATTGAAGCTGTGCCTTAGGCCGTCCCAATGTGCGGTTTGCTGGGATGTCGCGTCAGGTTTCTGTCTGTCTCTCTGCATATCTTTGCATGCAAAGTGCAAAATATTTTGTCAGTCGGCCGGTGGTTGTTCATTATAACCTACTGTAATACCTACTATAGTTTTACTATAGTATACCATAACGTACTATTATAACATGCAACAATCTACTACAGCTGAAGCTGTCCTGTTACAGTATGCATTTCTTGGGTAGGGCCTCGATCTCGAGTTCTGCCTTTTCTATGCAGCCAGCTTCTGAACTTTCGCGGTTCACAGGCGTACTCCCAGAGTAGTTTCTTTTTGGGATTGCCTTATAGGATTCTAAATATGAACCCCAAAAAGGAACTACTATGGGAGTAGATGCAGGCATATTCAACTGGTGACCACCTTTCTCAAGCACCCTGTCACTGGCAACTGCCTTGGCCTCTTGACCCTGCCCCTGCGCTGCAAGTTGGGATTCCAGACTGTCGGGCTTCTGAAAGTTGCGGGCCCTCAACCCCGAAACCCCCGTAACCCAAAAGAGACCGACATATTGATATCGATTGTAGTGGTACATGTTTTCGTTCCATTCCTCAGTCCTAAGCGCACTAGACCGGAGCTTTTTAATTCGGTTTGACGCAGATGAATAATTAGTAATGCTGTTCCGTATAGACTTCCAGGATGTAACTATTGCATCTACATTCGTCCGGTGAATCTTTGCAAGTCTCTTTCGGGTTCTTCAAAGGAAGGCACACAGAGCTCCAGGGAGCCTCGAAGCCATTCGCCCGTCCTCCGAGCTTAGTTTGCAAAGAGCTTCCAGAATTCTGTTTGCTCACCTTCTGTCAATGCCGTAAGAACATGTATAGCCTTGAACACCCGCTTGTCAGCCCTACGTGTAGAGCCTGAATCTGAAACTGTAACGGAGAATTGAAGCACGGGAAAACGGAGCTTGGATAAGATTATATCCCCTAAAATCCAAGCCCTTTCCGACCCCTCTCCCTTGCTCGCTTCCGCCTAGTGGGACTGTGTGCTTGAATCCGCGCCTGCTTCCTTTTATTGGGTTGTTCTACAGGGTTACATGGATCACGTGGGTTCCGTTGGGTTTACTATAGGAGTCTTCTAGGGTTAAAAAGAGGCACCATAAGGATTTGGTGGGTTTTCCTTCACGGCTCATCTAAGCTGTTCCATATTAGCAAAAGCCCAACCACTCAAGCCCTCGACGAGGCTACAGAAGAGCGATTGCCAAAAAACTACCCTCAACACCCCAAAAGGCTTAGACAGAAAAGAAGAATTAAAACTTCTTATTGAGGGTAGACAGCCCATACAGTAGAGCTTCGAATGAGGGATCCATATTTCAGGGGTACTAACCCAAAGGTTCTAAGCACACATATATGGGGGCTACTGACCCAAACCATGATATCAACTCCGATTATAGCAACCCTACTTTAGATCATTTTAGATCATATAGGGTACTGAGGATTTTGTGGGCAAATACTAGGCTCTTTTGGAAACCCCGCGTTGGGAGGTTCGACGCTTATCTCTCTTGCGCAGACATCGACCGGCGCGCTGCTGGCATTCCGGAGCCCTTGTGGCTATCGCTGTCCATGGAGACATGGCTGGATTTAGGGAATCGGGTTTAGAGTTTCAGTGCTTGTCGCTTAGGTGAGGGGGGGGGCTTTCTGGAACTTCGAGGCATCAATAAGGAAGTCACACAAGAAGGATGTCGCTTAGTGCCCTTCTTTCCTGAAGCTTCCAGAGGCTACGGCTTTGCGGATGCTTCATGAAATCGCATACCGTGGGCTTCAGGTTTCAGTATGTCGCCCCATTCCTACCCCAAAGGCAAACACTAAATTGGCCGGGTCCTTGTACTACTAGAGCTCAGAAACAGTACGTGTAATAACTTCGCGTTAGTAGTGCCATTATAAATTCAGCACAATACATCCCAATACAGCCCAAAACCATATTCGACTAGTCAAGTCCCTCATCTAAACCCTGAACCCGAAAACCCTAGACGCCCTGAGCCCCAGACCCTAAACCCTAGACCCTAAACCCTCAACCCTAAACCCTAGACGCCCTAAACCCTAGACCCTGAACCCTAGACCCTAAACCCTAAACCCTGGGGGTCTTTGGGTCAGGACCCTCCATCGTGTCATACGCCTTGGCTCCCCGACTAGGGAGTTCGGGGTTGAGGCTTTGGGTGCAGGGTTTTAAATGGTTTTCGGGTTTTAGATGGTTTCAGGGTTGTAAATGGTTTCAGGAGTTTTAGATGGTTTCTTCGGGTTTTAGATGGTTTCAGGGTTGTAAATGGTTTCAGGAGTTTTAGATGGTTTCATTGTTGTAAATGGTTTCATGCGTTTTAGATGGTTTTAGGGCTTTAGGGGGTCTTAGGGTTTTAGATGGTTTTAGGGTTTCAGATGGTTTTCGGGCTTCAGATGGTTTTTGGGCTTTAGAGGATTTTTTTTTTAGGGTTGTGAATGATTTTAGGGTTTAGGCTTTGAATGGTTGCAGGGTTCTGCAATTCGCTTTCGGAAGTTGCAGGCGCGGCACTTCCAAGGGATTCTTGGCCAAGGAGGGTACTGTAGGGTACCCGTAGATTGAACCCTGAACCCTTTATGGGTGAAGTTGACGCATCTCTGGCCCAGTGGCTGAAAAACTGCAGTTGTGGGGTTTGCTCCATAGCACGTGGAGTTGTTTCCGTTCACGTATGGCAGGGATCCCTCCGTACGCGACGGGGACAGAGAGAATAGGAGAGTGGCTGGGGAAAACTGCCGGCAACCGCCATGACAAGTGGTCATACTCCAAACCTGCGCTGAGGACATTTGCCTGCTGGCGTGGCTCGGCTGTTTGGTTTGGATATTCTGCAGCCCTTGACTCCTAAACCTCAAACCCTAAACCCAAATAAGAGCACCGCATGCCAAACCCGACAGTTCCAAGAATGACACCAGGACCAGCTGTGAGGCTCCCACCACCAGCTCAAGGAGCATCCCCTACGGGTTTCTGTACAAGTTGCCATGAGGGTTTAAAGTTGGGGGTTTGGGGGGCTACTATAAGGGTTGCTATGAGGGGGGTGCTATACAAGGGTACCGTAAATTTAAAGTAAAGGCTACGAAAGGGTTGCCATCTATCTGACTGTCTATATATTCATCCGGGGAGGCGCAGACGTCTGCTTGTGCAAAGCTGTAATTGGTTTTGAAGATGTAATCGATGTAATCTGGAAGCCTGAACAAACAGTCATACAACTTATAGTTGTCATATCTATATATATATATATATATCTATATCTATATCTATATATCTATCTATATATATATATATATTATGTATACCCCAAACCCTTATTCTATAGTTTAAGCTATCCCCCACACCAAAGCCTTATTCTGATTGCAAGGCCCCATATTCCCTAAACGCCGAAACCGCAGTGTTTCAACCTGTTGAAGTCTGCGTCGGCTGCAGCCTTAAACGGTGCCACAGCTCATGTCGGCTACCGGATCAGAAGGGTTTAGGCAAGTGTTCCGGACTCAGCGTCTCTGGGTTCATGCAGAGGTTCAGGAAGTTAGAGGGGCGCTGGTACCCTTCATTTCGTTGCATCTTCCACGCAGTTGAGTCTTTCGGGTATCAAGCAAGAGCCCCCTCATCCCTCAGCCCTTGAACCCCAAAAGACCCTAAAGCCTTCAAGCTCTTTAAACCCTAGTTATATCGTTGAGTTTGTCTCTGATCCATGGCAGCTGCTGACGAGCCCAGGGCCATGATAGAAGCTTTTTGCAAGTGGTGCCAGGAGCAGTCTTGTGACATGAGCCGGGTGCGCATAGAACAAACGTCGTCAGGGTTGGGCTTGCTGGCCGCGCAGGATATAATTGCTGGTGAGATTGGTTTGTCAGTCCCGGTAGATGCCCTGTTGACCGTCACTGCAGCTGCGAAAACGGAGATTGGCCAGACAGTCCTTAACAGCGCCGCCGCGCGCAACAGGCGAGTCAGTGCGCAAGCGCTCATGTACATTGTCATGCTGGACGGCTGGCATAACCCAGCAAGCAAGTGGCACAGCTACTTGAGACTGATTCCAGCTACGCACAACGATCCTCTGTGGTGGACGGACAGTGAGCGACAAGAACGATTAGCGGGCACCCAGCTCTTTCACGAGGCCGCACGTCACATGGCCCAGCTCCGTGACGTCTACGACTCACTATTCCCTGCTCTGTCTCAAGAGCTGCCCAGTGTCTTCCCTGCCGAGCGCTACACGTTTCAAGCCTTCCTTTGGGCTCGGTCCTCTCTGTCCTCGCGCTGTTTCTCCAACAAGCAGCTGGCCACTTGGCTTCACGGCGACAGTCACGAGCTTCCGGAGCTCCCAGCTCTCGAAACGGAGGAAAAAGGCTTGGTAAACGACTGTCCGGCAGCTTTATGCCCCTTCTTGGATATGACGAACCACAACCCAGAGACTTGGCTGTTCAGTATAAAAAGCCACTGAATGCTTAATATTTAATATACACTGGACGGGACAACTGGGACATCGTCTGAGTGCTTGTTATGTTTTCGGGCTCTGTCTCTACCCTCTCCCTCCCTCTCCCTCTCCCTCTCGCTCTCTCTATCTCCATGACTCACTCTCTTCGTTCTTTTTCTGGAGTTCTGCATTCCCCAGCAAAAGCTTCGGATTTGGGTGTACGGCATACAGAGTGAAGCTGTAAGCCCGAGCAACAAGCCAGCTGTTGCCTGAACAGCAGCGATGCTGGGCTCAGTGAGTGAATCACAAAATCTCGAGGCCGGCACGGGACTTTGCCAAGACTATTCTTTGGGGTCCCGTAAACGCTTTTTTTGGCTACAATGCCCCAAAGCCCTACTGATTTTTTCTTGCCTCTGTATTATATCCATGCGGAAGACTTTGTTGGATCTTGATTGCACGGGCGGGCACCCTAAATCGTAAACCTCAATCCCCGAACCCCGAAAGCCTCGAATGCAACCCGTTTGGGCAACTGAACCCTAAACCCTAAACCCCGATGCAACCCGGATTCCGAATAATGGAAGTCCTCGAGCTGAAAACCTAACAGGCTTCGCACTTTGTTTCTTCAATACAAACCCACGGGGTTGTTGATAATGACAGTTTTATGGGTGAAAGGATGGTCAGGATGAAGTGGAGAATATGATACCGTAGCTAAACCCTTTTCCAGAAGCCCCGGCCCCGAACCCCGCAAATCCATGACACCCTGAACCCCGATGTAGGGTTGCGCCCCCACGCCCCTCCCCCCCTCTGTAATGGTTTGGGCCTTCAGCTTCGAAGGTTTCAGGTTTATGGTTTAGGGAGCGGCGAAGGGGGGGAGGAAGGGGGTGTCGCGCAGAACGCGCAGCGCAACAATCTACTTGTAGGGTCTGAATACCAACCCTGGTCTTCCAAGTATGGCAACAAATAGCAGGTTTTGGTAGGAAAAGGTGAAGAGTTGTCAAGACCCAGCCCCAAAAGGCTGTAGACAAGGAGGGGACCGTCAAGCCGCAGCAAAGATTTTGTTTTAGTTCTTTAACGCATACTCCTTGGTTAGCCTCTGGGAATCCGGAATCTGTGTAAGACCCTTTAGAAAACCCCGCACCAGCCCACAGTTTCAGGTATGTTGCTTCGGGATTTTGGGCTTTCTGGGAATTGGGAGGATATTACATGTGTATATATATATATATGTATACATATGTATATAAGTACACATTTATGTACACATTTTTTATTTTGTGCTTTTGATTGTTTCTTATTTATTTATATTATACTTGTGTTCCTACATATATATATATATATGGTACCCCCCCCCATGTGCCTACCTTCCTCTCTCGCTTAACTCGACTTGGACCTCAACCAGC